CCCTGGCTCCCCCTGCTTGTGTGCGTTCTTTCTCTCTTTTTTTAAAAGATTTTATTTATTCATTTGACAGAGAGGGAAAGACCACAAGTAGGCAGAGCGGCAGGCAGAGGGTGAGGCCCGGGCGATGGCTCGGTGCTGCCTAAGAAAAGACAGGAGATCTGGGTCCCCGCCCGCCCCCCACCGTGTGTGCGAGCCAGGGGAGGAGCCCTCGCCATGCCCCCGCCTCCTCTTGGAGCTCCAGCCTCCAAGACAGGAGAACTTAACGTGTGTCATTTAAGCCCGGGTCCCCTCTCGGTTAAGAATCTTATTCCGACTCTGGATGAAACGGTAGGGAAGACTTCAAGTGACCTCTACCACCAGTGTGGGCCTGGAACTTGCGACCCAGAGATCAAGAGTGACACGCTGAGCCAGCCATGCGTCCCTATATGGGAGACGCTAGTCAAGACTCTTGGCAGTGGGCCTGTGACCGTAGGGAGAGAGTTTGGGCTCAGCCCAACAAGAGGACAGCTGGGGCGGACCACCAGGGAGCAGGGGGCACGAGGGCGGGGCAGATTCGTGCTAAAGGCCGGGAGGGGGGCCAGGGGCTTCTCCATGCGGTGGGGGGTCAGGGGGCGTGAGGCACGAGATCAGGTATGATGGCGATTGAATGTGGGGCTTCCTCTCTAAACTCACTTAGCAGGGGGCACCTGGGTGGCTCAGAGGGTTAAGCCTCTGCCTCCGGCTCAGGTCATGATCTCAGGGTCCTGGGATGGAGCCCCGCATCGGGCTCTCTGCTCAGCAGGGAGCCTGCTTCCCCCTCTCTTTCTCTCTGCCTGCCTCTCTGCCTACTTGTGATCTCTCTCACTCTGTGTCAAATAAATAAATAAAATGCTAAACAAACAAACAAAAAAAAAACCAAAAAAAACCCTAAACCTGGTGAGGCAGACCCAAGCCGGGGCGGACTGGGGTGGGCGAGGCAGGTGGGGAAGTGGAGAAGAGGTCAGAGGACCATGGCCAAAGGTTGGTCACCCGAATGGCCTCATTTTTGCTTTGTCACCTCATTAACTAATGACCTACAAACACGGTTACATTCTTAGGTGTAGGGGTTGGGACCTCCATACAGGAGTTCAGGCCCATTGGAGAAACGTCCCTGTCCCAGGACGGGGGCCGGGCATCCACATGGGCCTGAAATACCTTGTGTGACAGAAAACGGAGCGTTGGGGCGCCTGGGTGGCTTCTGGCTCAGGTCATGATCCCAGGGTTCTGGGATCGAGTCCCATATCCAGCTTCTTGCTCAGCAGGGAGTCTGCTTCTCCCTCTCCCTCTGCCCTTCCCCCCTTCCCACCCCCAACCCCACTGCTCCTGCCATCTCTCTCTGTTAAATAAATACATGAAATCTTTAAAAAAAATAACGGACCTGAGCGCACACGGGTGTCGATCAGTGCGTAGGTGTGGGAGTGGGCGAGGCCCCCCTGCTGTGTCCGAATGCCAAGTAACAAAGGCAGAAGGGGCCAGGACCTAGAACACCCCCCTTGGCCACCACTGTCACTGAAACCAATTCAGGCAGATGCTCCAAGGAAGCTTCCCCCAGAGGAGGCCGAGCTTGAGACGGTCACCGGGTATTTCCGAAGCATCTCTCCAAAGAGTCTTACTAGTTATGAAGCGTAAGACCCGCACCTTCACAGAGGAGAATCCCAGTGGCCAGAGAGGGGCCACGCAGACGCCGCTCTGTCCTCCGTCCCCCTCCCCGTGCCTTCCCCCAGGAGGCCATCCCCGCGCCAGTCACGAGAAGACATCAGACACATCGGGGACCTCCTACAAGACGTCTGTCCTGTACACGTCACCAACGCCTGTGGTTTCACGTAAGAGCACCCACAGGAGCTCAGACGTCCTGGACTCGCTCACGGTGCCCGGTGCCATGGGGACTGTCAGCAGAGGGACCGTTGGTTTGACCCCGGGTCTGTACCACTGGTGACTTCATCTCCGGTTTGGGTGTCTTTTAAAGACTAAATTTCTTTCAAGCAGTTGTAGCTTAACTTCTTGACTTTGACACTGGCTGGTGCTCATGGAAAACAATTCTGTTTTTCAGAAATAGACGCTGAAGTAGAGGGAAAGGGAAACCAGGTCTGCGGCTTACTGTGACCCATTCAGAAGAGCCAGCCGGTTCGCGGACGGACAGACTGCGCGCTTGCGTTCTCACTACAGAGACACGCAGAGACCCAGCGTGGAGAAGACGCAGTGAGAATGTGACCTTTGGAGGCGCCCGGCCGGCTGGGTTGGTGCAGCACACGACAGTTCATCACGGAGTCACGAGCTCGGGCCCCACGACAGTTGCAGAGATGACTCAAAAATACGATCTTTAAAAAATTGAACATTTGGAAAATGGGTAAAGGGCATCTGGAAATTCTCACTGTTCCTGCCACTTTTCTGACAGTCTGAAATTCTGTCAACATTTTAAAGCTTTTTTTGGTACTTGGGCGCCATAGCAAATCACTACAAACGCAGATAGCTTAAAACGACGCAAATTTCTTGTCTCCTGCTTTGGGAGGCTAGAAGTCCGAAAGGTCAGCAGGGCCTGCCCCCCTAGGCTTCAGGGGAGGGTCCCTCCTGCCACGCCCAGCTAGGGTGGGGAGGCAGTGGGGTGCAGCCCAAGTCCCTCCTCCTGTGCCAGCTTGACTTCCATCTGTGCCTCAGTGCTCCCAACTTCTGTCTTCTTAGAAGGACGCTGGTCATATTGGATTTAGGCTCCCCCCTTCCAGTACGACCTCCTCCTCTTTTTTTTTTTTTTTAAGATTTTATTTATTTGACAGACACATCACAAGCAGGCAGAGAGGCAGGCAGGCTCCCTGCTGAGCAGAGAGCCCTAGGTGGCGCTCGATCCCAGAGCCCTGGGATCATGACCTGAGCCGAAGGCAGAGGTTTAACCCACTGAGCCACCCAGGCGCCCGACCTCCTCTTCTGTTGATTAGGTAGTCAAAGACCGTATTTCCAAATAAGGTCATATTTATAGATTCCAGGGGTTTGTAAAAGTTTACAATTTGGCGATCTGGGTGAGTCTGGGAATTCTTATCCTTTTCTTGACACTTTAGTGACAGTCAGAAATGATGCCAGAATAAACGAATTCAGAACATAATTTAAAACTCCCTGGTTTGGGGACACCTGGGTGGCTCAGTGGGTTAAAGCGTCTGCCTCCGGCTCAGGTCATGATCCCAGGGTCCTAGGATCGAGCCCCACCTCGGGCTCCCTGCTCAGCAGGAAGCCTGCTTCTCCCTCTTCCCAGGCTCCTGTGTGTGCTGTCAAATGACTAAATCAAATCTTCTAAATAAATAAATAAACACTCCCTAGTTTGAAACTGTCCAAGGGCCCCAGAGCGGGGCGGCTGAAGGCTGGACCCTGTCCTCTTGGCCTGCCGCCCCCTCCCCCACTCCTGTCCCTTGCTCGGCCCCACGGACACACTGACTTTTCCTGGGTTCTTCCAGCCCCCGAGCTTGTTCCTGCCCCAGGCATTAGCGTCCCCGCTGTTTTCAGCCCAGAACATTCCTCCTTGAGAACAAGACTGGCTCCTCCGGTCACCTGTCACCTGTCCAGGGCAACTTCCAGAGCGCCTGACCTCAGACCCACTCCCATTCACGTCTTCCTCGTTCTTCACTTTAATTTTCATTAGTGGAAATTTTGTTATAAAATGAGACCTTGTTGCAGCCCCTCTCCTGGAATAGAACACCCCAGGGGCAGAGGCCCTGTTTGAGTTTCCGTGTGTTTCCAGAGCCTGGGACAGAAGCCCGACCTGGGCTGAACCAAGGATGCTTCCGCCTCTGTCCACACCTGGTGGCCCTGTGCCTGTCAGTCCCACAGGAGCCCGTCAGCCCCAGAACCCCATGAGGCCGGCTCCTTAGAAGTCAAGAGCACACAGGTTTGAAATCCTGTTGGGGGTGGCCTTCCCGGTGGCCCCATGGCGCCCTCGGGGCGGCAGCCAGCGTTGATGAGGAGCACCTGGGTGACACGTGTTTCTGAGCGGCGTTTGTGACTTCAGGCCAAGCTTCCGGCGAGCTCCGGTTCCTTCCCGGTGCCCAGACCGGGCGGACAGGCTCCGAGGGCAAGCTCTGGGGCCGCGGGGCACCTGCACCACGGGGGGCAGAAATCAGTCCCGGGGACCCCGCGGCGGGGAAGCCAGAGCCCGGGAGCCGCGTGCCCGCTGGGCGACCCCTGACCGAGGCCGCGGGGACCAGGGCCGGCGTGGGGGCACCTGGCGGACGGGATTCTGCGGAGCGTCTGCCTCGCGGCCGGACAAGCCCTTCCCCGCTCCGGAGGGCGCGCGTCTCATCGACAGAGCAAGCAGGTCACCACGTAAAACAGAACCGAGTACGGAGTGTCCGCACCCCTGGAGTCTGAGGTTCTGGTGGGGGGGTCCTGGGGACGGGCAGGGGCGGGGCGGGATCCGGGGAACCCGGGGAGAGGAGGGCAAAGGGGCTCCCGGCCGGCGGATGCGTGAAAGAGGAGCAGAAACCGCGACCAGGGCCCCGGTTGGGCACTGGGGCGGGGGAGGGGTGGGGTCCCGGCCCTGCGGCTGGGCAGTGGGGGCGGGGATCTTGGGGGCGGGGTCCCGGCCCTGCGGCTGTGCAGTGAGAGCGCGGAGTTGGGGGCGGGAGAGGGGGTGGGGTCCTGGCCCTGCGCCGGGGCAGTAGAGGCGGGCAGGTGGGGGCGGGGTCCGGGCCGTGCGCCGTGCAGTGGGGGCGGGGGCGGGGTCCCGGACCCGAGGCTGGGCAGGGGCAGGGAGTTGGGGGCGGGAGAGGGGTGCGGCGAGAGGGAGGGGCGGGAACAAGCGCGGCGGCGGGCGGGGCGCTCCGCACTCGGGATTGGCCGCGCGCCGGCCCCCGCCCCCGCCTCTCGGCCAATCGCCTGCGCGCACCGTCGGCCGCGGGGTCCCGGTGGCCCCGCAGTTCCAGGTTGGCGGCTCGGGTGAGCAGAGTCGGGCCCGCAGCTCCCGCGCCTGGACGCTCCCGCCCCGCGCCGCTTTCCCGCTTTCCCGCGTCCCCGTCCAGGTGAGCGCCCGCCGGGCCGAGACCCACCCCGCCAATGGGCCGGAGGCTCGGGCTGGGGTCCCGGGTCGGGGGCCCGGATCGCCCCCCCCCCGGAATTGCATCATCTCCAGCCGCACGCGGCGGAGCCGGGCTGGCGTCCTGCGCCCCGGGCCTCCCCGCTCCCGCGCGTCCGGGCGGTCGTGAAACTGTGGGTGCCGCGTGCACGCGGCCCCAGGCCTGCCCCCCGACTCCCGTGGCTGTGGAGCGAATGCGGTGGGGGCGCGGGCGGGGTGCGATCACTGAGTTTTCGCTGCATTTTTTGGACGGGAAAGGGCTGTTTCGCAAATGCTCCTTTCCCAGTTGTAGGAGGCGGGAGTAAATATTGACGGAGTTGCGTGGGCGGCACGTGAGCGGGTGTCCACGGGGGGAGGGGACGCAGGGTGGGGGGAGGATGCCCTGAAAGCCCCACTTCCCCGAACCCTAAGCGAGGTGAACGGCCGGACCTCGGAGTGTGGGGGGGCAAGGGCGGGAACGCAAAACTCGGAGCTCCTCCAGGTGACCTGGGCGTGCGTATCCCGGACTGTCCCTCCGGGCCTCGCTCTCCCGCCTGAAAACTCACACTTTAAGAGAGGAGTTTAGCACCCCTGCGCCCTTGACCCTGACCACCCCCACCCCCAAACACGGGGTCGACTGGTGCGTGTCTGCAGAGCTGAGGGTGCACTCGGGCCGTCCTGACCAGGGGAGGGGGGGGTCTTGCCGTTTAAGGTGAGGCGAGAGCCCGCCTCCGCAGGTGAGGCCCGCGGGTTCGGACCGCTCCCCGAGCGAGCGCGCGACCCAGTGCTTTTGGGGGCCACGGAGACTCGCTCGGCTTCCATCAGTGGACGCAGCTCCTACCGGGCCGCAGGTTGCGCCAGGCAAGGTCAGTCGCCAGAAAGGAGGTGCGGGTGGCCGGTCCGTGGCCAGTCCTGCGGCCCGTCCTGCGGCCCAGCGCGCACCAACCGGGCAGGGGCGCTGCTGGCCCCTCACGGTGACCCACGTTGGTGACGGGGGCTTCTGCAAGATGCAGGTCACCTGCCCACAGCCGACTCTGGCGACTGCTGGGGAACAGGCGCTGTTCTGCTTAGGTCTTTCCAAAAGGAGGAAGAAGGAGATCCTCGAGTGGGTTCAGGGAAGGTCTGACCCCAGTAGAAGTGCATGGTCCTCTTGAGGGAACCACCACTCTAAGGATGCCTCGGGGCAGGACAGCTGGGAGCTGGTTTCTCTCAGAATGCCCCAGGCTTGGGGGGAGCCTCGGCCCGCAGGATTCCCAAGGGGTATGACTTACAAAGGGTCCCAACCCTTTTAACTCCTTGCTGGCAGGCTCTGGCCTGGGTGTCTGTGGGGAGCCGCTAGGCTGGGCTGCATCAGGCCACCTGCGCTGGAGGAAGGAGACCCAGCTGGGCGGCCTCTGCCCTAGCCCATCACCTGGCCAGGTGAGCTCCAGAGGAGAAAGGGAGCAGGGGAGTGGATTTGCATCTCCATGAGAGGAACCCTGTGCACAGCTTCAGCCCAGTTTCCCAGGGGCCCCAGCCTTTTCACAGTGGAACTGCCCTACAGAGCTCTTGGGTAGCAGAGATGAGCAGGTCTGGGATCTGAGGTCCCTCCCGCTTCCCAGAGGAGCTGTGTGGCTGTGCGCAAGAGACGGCTCGGAGCCAGGTCCCCTACCATGAGCTTCTGGCAGGGACTTTTCCAAACCTACCGGATTCCAGAGTATTTTCATTTTTGTTTTTTAAGATTTTATTTATTTGACAGAGAGGGAGAGATCACAAGTAGGCAGGAAGGCAGGCAGAGGGAGAGGGAGAAGCAGGCTCCCCACAGAAGAGAGAGCCCAACGTGGGGCTCGATCCCAGGACCCCGAGATCATGACCTGAGCCAAAGGCAGACACTTTGCTGAGCTCCCCCCGTGGCCCTGATCTGCCCCCCCACAACCTTCCCTACAGATGCTGTTTGAAGCCCTTTTTACAACTTTGTGTTCAGGTTTGACAGTCACAGTCAAGATACCCGTCACCTCCACATAGGAACCCTTCTTTTCCCCCATGTACCCTCGTATTGAGAAGAAATTTGAAATTTTATTGCGTTTTCATAGCCCAGTAATATTTCTGTCTTGCGGGGATGCCGCGTTGTTTCTCCCGTCATCCGCGCCGACACCCGTCTTGTTGGCATTGTCGTCCGCCGCGAGCCGCGCTGCCACGGATGCGGTGCCTAGACACCCCCTTCCTGGTCGTTGGGGTCAGTCTGTGCCTGTGGGTAGGGCGCCGACCCGCATGGTGGGTCTGTGTTAACGTCTTGGGGAGCCACCGGGGCTGTAGTTGAAACTCGTGCTCGTTCCCACCCCAGGGGACCAGCTGGGCCCAACCCCCGGGTCTGGCAGCAGTGTTTAGAAAGGGCCTGAACGGACTTTGTCCCCTCCCTTTGGCAGATCCCAGCATGCCTTCCGAGACGCCCCAAGCAGACGGGTCCGCGGCATGCCCCCACCTCTCAGGGGCACAGCTGGGGAAAGGGAGCCTGGAGAAGAGGCCCCCGGGGGACAAAGAAGCCAAGGAACGCCTGTGGATCCGTCCCGATGCCCCAAGCAAGTGCTCCTGGCAGCTGGGCAGGCCGGTCTCCGACTCTCCGCATCACCACGCCACCTTGTAAGTGCCCGTGGACAGTTGGCAGTGGAAGGGAGGACTTTGTTTCCTGGGAGCCCCCTGGCCTGAGGTGTGGTCCCCCCTCGAAATCCCTCCAGAGGGCCAGTGAGCTGGGGCGGGGGCGCTGTGGGGAGGAGTGGGCCGAGGCTCAGAGAGGTCCGGGGTTCTCTGCACGGTAGCCCCGCACCTAGACCCGTGTGCCGCGAGGGTCGGCGCTGAGCCCGTAACAAGCCGCAGACTTGGAGCGACCTGTGGGGGAGACGTTTCCTGCGCCGTCACATGGGCCGCCCCCTCGTGTGGGAGGCCAGCCCATGGGCGTTGGTCATTAGGAACACGCCTGCGCAGTTCTGCATCAGGTGATGAACGCTTCTGATCGGGAAATATTTTCCTGCCTCGGGCCCCTTCGTGATTGGGCCGAGGCTGTCGCGTGGAGACTCGTTAGGCCTTTTATTGAGTATTGGATGTTTGCGATGATCTCGTGTGAATAACTGTCTGTAGAAAACTTTTTTTTCCCTAAGTTTTTTTTTTAAGATTATTTATTTATTTATTTGACAGAGAGAGATCACAAGTAGGCAGAGAGACAGGCAGAGAGAGAGAAGGAAGCAGGCTCCCCACTGAGCAGAGATCCCGATGTGGGGCTCGATCCCAGGACCCTGAGACCATGATCTGAGCCGAAGGCAGAGGCTTAACCCACTGAGCCACCCAGGCGCCCCAGAAAACTCTGTCTTTAACGAAAACGCACGATACCTGTGACCTGTTGTAGGTTTAGGAGATCTGTCTGTGGGAAAGGGAAAAAAAGAACAGAAGTCCCTGTTCCAGGATAAAAGCTGAGTGCGCTAAACCCCAGGGTTGTCTCGTGTCCTTGGAATAATCTCCCGGAAGCAGGACAGGTAGGTCCAGGATGTGCTCCCAGGCGTGTGCTCTTTGTCCCGGGGACGCTGCTGGACCAGCGCTCGTGATCCCCGGTTTGAACGTCAGAAGCGAGGGCTGGGGGGGTGCAGGCCTCTGCTGACGGAGATGAAGAATGTCCCAGAAGCTGCGAACAGACAAGTTTCAGGGCCGGGAGCGGAGGAGGCCACGTTGGCCGCTGCTGAGACGGGATGAGCTCTCGCATCCCAGGCAAAGCCCAGCCGTGAGCAGATGGGCCGTGAGGCTGGAGCGTGGTTGCTGGGGTCGGGGGTGGCGTGGTGGGGGGAGGGGAGGGGAGGCAGCAGAGAGAGACCCAGGTTCCTGCAGGCTCCCGAGCTCTAACTCAGAAAGCCCGGGGTGGAAAGGATGCTCTCTTCCCAGGCTGTGAGATAGTGTCAGACCTGCATCTCACACACCGGCCTGATCCATCCTCTTAAAAAGCCCTTAAGGGGCCGGTGTCCCCTGTGACGCTCGTTCCAGCTCAGACCTAGAGTTCCGAGGGTGTTGGGGCTGACCTGCCGGGAGAATGCAAGACCCCAGGGGCCCGGGGCCGGTGGAGCTTGGGGAGCCTCGGGTGAGGGTGCAGGTGTGCTGGGCTGGGTCGGGGAGAGAGCCGTGTCTGGATAGACTGAAGCCACAGGGACATCTGGGGGAGGGGATTCTAGATGGTTCCCAGGTGGAGTGGGCTTGGGAGGAGGGCCAGGGTGGGCACAGCGGTGAGGGTGTGCTTTACCCGAAGATGCTGTGGGGTTACCCTCCTGAAGGCCTCCAGGCTCGTCCCTGCTCGGTTCTCTCTCGGGCTCCTGCGCTGCTCACCTTGGGCAAGCTTCTGGGAGGCGGGGTTTGCCCCCAAGGCCTGGTGCTGAGTCAGGAACCCCAGGTTCTCCTGCCCAGAGGGGGTGGGCCTCAGCCCCTGCGGGGGGCAGGATGATTCAGGAGTAACTTTACCTCTGCGCCTTTGGCTAGTTGATGAATCAGCCCCTCTGACTCACTGAGGTCCTGGACTCCCTCCCAGGCCAAGGTCAGGAGCCCTGGGCCCCCAGCCAGGCTCGCCCTTCAGCCGCGCATCTGTGGTGCCTCTCTGCCTAGCTCGCCCCAGGGGGTGTCCTCTGAGCCTCTTGGAAGGCTGCAGTGGGAGGCTGGTTCTGGCTTGTCCAGGCCCCCGGGCTGGAATGCTGCCTCCTTAGGGCTTCCGGACCCCCTGGGAAGCTGGGCCCGACGGCGCTGGGCGTGGGGCCAGGAATCAGGCCACAGCAGGTTCCTGGAGCAGTGGACCTGCTGTGTCTGAGAACCCCAGAATGTGCGTGAGAGCCTGGGGTGTAGGAAGCGGCTGCATTTCTGGAAACTGGTCTGTGGGGCATATTCCCAGGTGAGCGTTGGGTGAGCACACCCTTGGCGCAGACGGGAAGAGGGTGCGGAATTGGCATCGGTCCCCGAGGGTGAGGATGGAGGAGTTCGTGGGGACCCTTCAGGAAGTGCACGTACCCTGGTTTGCACACCCGCGCCAGCTGGGCTGTCCACACCCGCCTGTCACCTGTCACCAGGTGGAGAATGGAGACAGGCAGCCAGTCGCCGGAATGTGAAGGGAGACAGCGGGTCCATGGTACGGAAACCCACACGGAGCTGGAGGCCCGCCTCGGAATTCACCCTGACCTTAGCCCCAAGGGCACCAGGGACTTCCCCACAGCCTTTGTGGTTTGCTTTTGAGCGTGGTGCTTCACAGCGCAGGGGGCTGGCATTGTCCAGAGGACGCCCGGTGTCCGGTACGAGCCCTTTGCAGCCACCGTCCCCGGTCTGGTGGGCAAACGGGCGGCCTGGGGCTCTGGGGTCGGCTTCAGTGCGTTCATCGAGAAGAGGAAAAGCAGGAGTCCTGGAGCTTGGGTTGAGAGAGGGAAGGAAGTGAGGGTCCCCAGAGAAGACTTCCTGAACGGATCGGCCGGGACCTTCAGCGTCCTTGTCTGGAAATAATGTGACGTGAGAACTTGTGGCAGCCTACGGAGGGGTCCTGCGTCCCTGCGCCCGGCCACCCTGTGACCCCCGCTGCTGAGGACACGACCTTGACGCGGCTGACCCCGCGCCGAGCTCCAGGCGGGGCTCGCACGGTCCTCCCGTGGTGTGCGTGCACACGCGGGTGTGAGTGTGCCTGTGGCCTTCCACCCCGCGTGTGGATTCTGTCCTCTTCGGACCCCAGGAAACCCCGTTCTTCGATTTGCTTCTTGACTTAAGACAACTTGCCGGACTGCCGAGACTGAATAATCATGGACTCCTCTGTTTTAGGGCAAAATCCCCCCAAATCTTGCCAGATATCCTGAAGAAAATTGGGGACACCCCCATGGTGAGAATCAACAAGATTGGGAAGAAGTTTGGCCTGAAGTGTGAGCTCTGTGAGTGCCTGGTGTCCTCTGTCCTGTGGTTGGCTCAGGGGGCACAGGGATGGGGGGGTGGACTCCCTGGGCCCCCCCACGGGGGCTTTCCTGGCCCGTCACCCTGCAGGGGCTCCTCAGGGGCCTTTGTCTTCTTCAGGGGGAGGGGCCGTGGGGCCAACAGGTGGAGGCAGGTGGGAGTTTCAGACCAGCCTCCTCCTCTAGGTGCAGGTGGGAGGTGGGAACGGAGAGGGGCTGATGTGCAGAATCAGCAGAGACCGTGTCTGTCCCCACATCCGGCCTGTATCAGAGCACGGGGCGGGGGTGGCGGGATTGGTGGGGGGCAGGGCCTCCTCCTCTGCTGATCCATCCTTGGCTCCCAGTGGCCAAGTGCGAGTTCTTCAATGCGGGCGGGAGTGTCAAGGATCGGATCAGTCTGCGGATGATCGAGGACGCCGAGCGGGCTGGGACTCTGAAGCCCGGGGACACCATCATTGAGCCGACGTCCGGGAACACTGGTGAGTGTTGGGACAGGCTGGGAGGGTACCCTGGCCCAGGGTGACCCGCTGCTGCATGCTGGCCTGTCTGGCTGGCCTCTTCCCTCGACCGTTTGCACCAGCTGCACCTGTCGCGGGGAGGGGGTGCCCCTCTCAAAAACCACTCCCCTCCCCAGGGATCGGCCTGGCCCTGGCTGCTGCCGTGAAAGGCTACCGCTGCGTCATCGTGATGCCGGAGAAGATGAGCACCGAGAAGGTGGGGGCAGGGGTCCTCCCCCTGGGGCCAGCCCTGGTTTCAGGGTGGGGGACGTGCAGGCCTCTGTTCCTCTGCAGGTGGACGTGCTGCGGGCCCTGGGGGCGGAGATCGTGAGGACACCCACCACCGCCAGATTCGACTCCCCCGAGTCGCACGTGGGGGTGGCGTGGAGGCTCCGAAATGAGATCCCCAATTCTCACATCCTGGACCAGGTGAGGGTGGGGCTGGAGGGCGGGTGTGCCCTCGGAGGTGGGGACCTCTGTGGGGGGGGAGAGAGTGCACTGGCGGCAGGGGTGCCTGGCCCGCAGGCAGGGGTGTCTCGGCCGGTCAGGCCCTGGGCTGGAACGGCCTGTGCGGGGGACCCTGGCAGTGCTGCATGGGTGTAAAACGCACAAAACCCTTTTCTCCGGACACTCTCTGTGTCACTCGCTTCCCTCCCGGGGCTCCCGGAGATGGGATTTTGTGTTCTGTGCCTGCTGAGGTTCCCAAAACTGCCGGTGCTGTGGCCACTGTCACCTGAGCTGCCAGGAGTGTCCCGGCTCTGTGCCGTGCGCCTCCCGTGCTGTGGCTGTGGCCCCTAGTGTGTCTGACCTCGCCGTCTTTGCGCAGTACCGCAACGCCAGCAACCCCCTTGCTCACTATGACACGACCGCCGAGGAGATCCTGCAGCAGTGTGAGGGTGCGTACCCCGTCCCGCCCCGAGGTCCACCTCCGCGGCTCCTACCCCTGCTTGCCTGGGAGTGTCTGAGTCCCTTATCCTCTCCCTGGTAAACTCCTATTTGTCCTTCAAAACTTAGCTCAGATGCTCCCACTCTGTGACATGCTCTGCCAAGCCTCTCCCTAGAGAGGTTTTCTCCCTCGGGTGTGCTTTTTTGGACTTTGCCTTTGCCTCTCCTCTAACACCAGGCACGAGCAGTCCTGTTTGTATGTCCAGCAGTGTGCCCTCCAGATGCGTAGCGTCTCCCGAGCTCAGGGAGCGCGTGTATCCCCGGCCGGTGCTGGATGCGTCCCTGGGCTCACGCTGTGCAAGGGCACTTGGCATCGAGCCCCGATCTGAATGGGTGGTGGCACCTGGGGTTGGTTTCCTTACCTTCGGGACGGACGGGAGCTTCCTTGAAGCCTTTCCACAAGTTCAGAGCCACGGCCCCAAGGGGCTATGGCGGTGTTTGCCGGCGGGCCGTTTCCCAAAGAGACTTGAGGGAGTCGTTGCGGGGCGGTGGGCCCTGCTGGCTTTCTGCTTGGAGTCTGGTGCTGGGCTTCCGTGCAGCCGCGTTCTGAGCCCAGGAGCCAGGCGGCGAGCTCCAAGCATTGGGTCACCCTCTCCCTTGGCAAAAACCCGCGTCTGCCCCGGCGTGCGTGCCCACGCGGACTTGTCTGCAGCCGTCAGAGCTCGCCCCTCAGCAGGCTGAGAGCGGGGGATGTTGGAGCCGAGCCTCAGGAACGTCCTCTGTCTCCTCTGTAACTCAATTTCCTTAGTCCTGTCCCCAGCCAGACTCAGCTGCCCAGGCCCCGTCCACCAGGGGCAGCCTCAGTGGAGGGATGCACGCCACTTTGGGGTTTCCGTGGCCGTGGGCCACCAACAGAGACTGGAATGAAGCCCCCGGGGTCACTCGCCGTGAACGCTTTCAGAGATCGGGCACTGTAATGAAAGGCTGTTGAAACATGAGAATCATTTCTCTGGAACTTTCCCATAACCAGCCTTCACTTGGGTTAGGTTTTCACGCGTTAGTAGGCGTGGGGGTGGGGTTGGAGGCTCCGTCGGTGAAGCGTCTGCCTTCGGCTCAGGTCATGACCCCAGGGGCCTGGGATCGAGCCCCATGCGGACTCCCTGCTCGGGGGGACCCTGCTTCTCCCTCTGCCTCTGTTGCTCCCCCGTTCTTGCACGTGTGCACACACGCGTTTGCTCTTTCTCTCAACTAAATAAATAAAGTTTTAAGAAAAGAGAAAAGGAAAAGGCGGGTGGGCCGGCTTGGTTGTGGCCCAAGGATGTTCCCCCTGACGCAGCTCCTCCCATCAGGGAAGCTGGACATGCTGGTGGCTTCGGCGGGCACAGGTGGCACCATCACCGGCATCGCCAGGAAGCTGAAGGAGAAGTGCCCAGGTTGCAAGGTGAGTGACCCCGGGGCTGCGGACGGGCGGGAGGTGGGGGCACGTGGATGCCGGCCCCGCCCTGAGACGCAGGCCCTGACGTGGGCGCGTCTCTCTCCTGCGGCCTCAGCCATAGCTGGAGGCGGACCCAACCCATCAGGCGTCCGGGCATCCAGCCCCCAGAGCAGCCTCTGCTTTAGGGCTGAGAGTTCCTGCCATTTCTGCTTCCAGCCTTATGTCCGGGCCGGTGTGTGTCTGTGCCGGTCTGGGAGTGGCCCGTGACCTACGTGCCCAGATGCTCTGGGGGTGGACGGTTGGCTTGGGTGGCTCCAAGGACTGTTCGAGAAGCTCTAAGTTCTTAGGCTCGGGTCCACATGTGTTGCACCTGGGAGGGCATCTGGATTTGGGGTTTAGCCCGGACCTAGGGAGGGGCTTGTAGAAACATCCAGCGGGTGGTCCATTCTCTGCCCTCTTGGCCCCACAGGCTTCAGCTGTCCCCACAGGGCCAGTCAGCGCTTTCCTGGCGCGCCCTGCCACCAGGTTCTTCCCTGGGAGGCTCCTTCCCCGACATGCCAGCCCCTCTGAGTGCCCCAGGGTGAATGTTTACCTTGGAATCTGCCCAAGGCTGGGGGCGTGGGTTCCTGGGTTTCCAGCTTGGCTTGAGGCCTGGGAAAGAGGCCGATGCCCCAGGGGCCAGTCTTGATCCTGTGCTTGCTGGGGTCGGGATCGGCCACCTGGGTGAAAGCCAGGCCTGGCCGGATGGGACCTGTGCCCAGCTCCGGCCCCAACGCCGCCTGCTCTGCAGATCATCGGGGTGGATCCTGAGGGCTCCATCCTTGCGGAGCCCGAGGAGCTAAACCAGACGGAGCAGACCATGTACGAGGTGGAGGGGATCGGCTACGACTTCATCCCTACGGTGTTGGACCGGTCGGTAGGTAGAGCCGGGCCGCCTCGGCGTAAGGGGCTCCAGCCCTCCGCGACGTGCGCCCTCGGACCGGCTTTCCTATGGAGGGGGCGCCGGGACGTGAGCACCGCTCGGGCCGGTGGGCGGAGCACGGTCTTGGCGGTCAAGGCTGGGTAACCGGCGGCACCGTACAGGAGTGTGCCGTGGCCTTGCTGGGCACAGACGTGGCCGTGGCCGGTTAGACCCAACTTATGTACCCATCAGGCCCCGCAGAGGGAGGGAGCTCCAGGTGCTTCGGGCAGGGGAGCGAGGCAGATGAGAAGGACCCCAGACAAGGCTCTTGAGAGGGTCTGGGCTGGGCCCCGTGGGGACATACGGGGGCACAGGGGGTGGGCCGCACCCCTCCAGGCCTTCGGTCCCGGCTGCAGGTGGTGGATCAGTGGTTCAAGAGCAACGATGAGGAGGCCTTCGCCTTCGCCCGCATGCTGATTGCGCAGGAGGGTTTGCTGTGCGGTGAGTGGGGCGCGGGCACCGGGGTGGGGGCGGGGTGGGCTGGCCCTCTGCCCGCTTCCAATCCAGGGGTGCGAGAGACGCCCTCCTCCTGGGGCTGCGGGGGGGCGGCAGCCGGGCTTCTCAGGTGCCGCCCGCCTGCCCTTCAGTGCTCGGTGGTCATCGTGCTCACATGAGGGCAGGAGGCCGGGGAGCGAGGAGCTCTGGGCCGGTGTTCCCGGGTCCCTACGTGCTCTGTGCTCTGTGTTGAACGGTCTTGCTGAGAATAGGGACGTGGCGCGCAAATCAGGGGCAGCGTGAGTGGTGAGGGCCTGGGGACACAGCAGACCCCAATAGCTTGACGGGAGAGGAAGTAGCCATCGCGTTCCTGGGAAAGTAGGCACCGGGGTCCAGGTGCGTGCCGGGCGTCTGCCTCCCACCTGGGTCCCCCATCCCGTGAGAAGAGCCCTGGCGATGCCATCAGCCATGCTGGGCTGTTCTGGGGGTGAGGCCAAGGCTCTTGGGACACTTGTGTTTGCAGTCAAGCCCAGCACTCACCTTGGAGTGGGGGCTTGTTGTCCACTGGAGTCCCCGGCCAGGAAAGGGTGCCGGGAACACCCTGGAGAGGCTGGAGGGCGTCTGTCACACGGGCCTTGGGGCAGAGGGAGGTGGGACAACACTCCCCACCAGCTCTCACGGTCCCCAAGGCCCCCGAGGGAAGCAGCTTGGTTTTGACCAGCTTCGGGATGGAGGGGACAGGCAGTGCACGTGCTCTGCGAAACCCGCCAGGGGGTCTCTGGGTTTCCCTGTGGCAGGGTCGAGTGAGGAAAGCCTGGGCCGACGCAGAGCTCAGTGGGTAAGAGAGGAGGGCAGGGGGCCCTGAGAAGCGGGGTGCTCTCCACAGAGGCAGCCACTGGTGACGGCGCCCCGGGGTCCAACAGAGCATGTCCGGGCACACATGCACACGTGCTCACGGTCCCGCTCCGCAGGTGGCAGCTCGGGCAGCGCCATGTCGGTGGCCGTGAAGGCGGCCCAGGAGCTGCGGGAGGGCCAGCGCTGCGTGGTGATCCTGCCCGACTCCGTTCGCAACTACATGTGAGACGCGCCCCCTCGTCCGCCCGGGTCGCCCCATCCTTCCCGGCCGCGCTCTGGCCCGCCACTGAGCCTCCCCTGACGTCTACAGGCAGAACGTGGTGGGGTGGGGGCCTGCACGACACCCGCAGGCCCTGTGTCCACCCTCCTGGTCCTTGGGGTCCCCTTGGGGTCTCAGGAGTCCGTGGTTTTTCCTCCTGTCTCGTCCCCACCTCGGGTCTTCTAGACACATTTGACAGTCTGGGCCTAAAGCATCTGTCGAGGGAGGAGGGGGACTGCGCCTCCCTGCTGGCCTCCATGCTCCCCTGTAGCTCTGTCCAGCCTCTGGCCAAGGCGCTCCCAGGGGGGGCTCAGATGGCCCCTTGGGACCTGGTGCGGAATGTGTGACCAGTGGCCTCTGAGACCCCTTCACCTTGTGTCCCGATTCTGCAGACCGTAGGCCCGGCTAATGGCCCCGGGCCCATGCGCTCTGCGGCGGGCTTGTGGGGGGCAGAGATCTAGAGATGCCCCCCTCCACCCACCAGACCCTCACCGTGTGCTCCGCAGCCCGGGGGCTGGGGTACGTGTCTCCGGTGCTCTCCCGGGGGCGGCATGAGTCATGTCTGGGCTCCTGCGGCCAAACCGCCTTGAGCTGGGCGGCTCACCTGCCCAGTCAGGAGGAGTGTCTGACTCCGTGAACTTGGCACGCTTGCCACGTGTGCGATAAAGTCTGAAGAGGGTGTGAGAGGAGGGGCGGGTGTTCGAGGGGAAGGCGGGAGGAGGGGCGGCTATGGGGGGGTAAATGCATAGGAGGTGCCCGTGGTGTGGCCGGTGTCCCTCACCCCCAGGAGGGTTGCGTTCTCTTTGTCCCCAAGTGTCAGGAGTGGGTTGGGGAGGAGGTGACCCTGTGGCCACGAGGGGCCTGCTGGCCCAGGTCCGGGGACGGGAGCTGCTGTGTCCTGTGCTCATTCAGACACAGACACGGGTTGCTGCTTGTCCAACTTTCTCACCGGGTCCCCGCAGGGGTCCCCCTTACCCTACAGCCTCGGCCGCAGCGGGGTCTCTGCTGGACCGTGGCATCCGGCGGGGGGTGCTGGGCTCTCTGAGCGCCCGGGTCCCCCCCACCCCCGTGTGGGCAGAGGAGCGGTGAGACCCTCCATGCAGACCCTGGTGACCTCGGATGCCCGCAGGTCCAAGTTCCTGAGCGACAAGTGGATGCTGCAGAAGGGCTTCCTGAAGGAGGAGGACTTCACGGTGACCAAGCCGTGGTGAGGACCGCCACCCCCGAAGTCCCCCGTGTGACCACAGGGCACATGCTCCTGGTCTCTGCCTCCCATGCCCCTGGTTCACGGCCCGCCCTGCACTGTCGTTCAGGTGGTGGCACCTCCGGGTCCAGGAGCTGAGCCTGTCGGCGCCGCTGACCGTGCTGCCCACGGTCACCTGTGAGCACACCATCGAGATCCTGCGCAAGAAGGGCTTTGACCAGGTGCCCGTGGTCGACGAGTCGGGGTCAGTGTCTGCAACCCCCACCCGGGACTGCACTCCGCACTGTGGGACGGGGCGGCCGCGGGGACCCATGCCGATGGGTCGGCGGCGGCTGCCGTGCACGCCGCAGCACGATTGGGGGCCCGATGGACGGGTGGTTGCTGCGCAGCCGCTGGGGCAGGGAGTGGGCCACGCGCACTCCTGCAGGCACGGCCCCCTGTCCCACGGCTCTCTTGCTATGCATCCCGGGGCAGGCGGGGGACACGCCAGGCCTGGCAGGCCATGCACAGATGACCCGCGTGCACAGGCTCCCAAGACGACCCCCATGACGAGTCCAGGTCCCGGGGTGGCCTCGATGCTGGTCAGAACGGAAGCCCCCAGGGGACCCAGTGGTTTGCACAGTCTGCGCCCCGTACGCCCTGCTTGTGCTGGCTGAGGCGTGAGAGGACTTGCGCCCTTGGCCAGAGGACACCGTCTGACGCCTAGGGCGGCCCCAGGCATGTTCTGCCCTGGGGAAGGAAGGGGTACCTGCCCTGAGCCCTGAGCCTGAGCCTGTCCCCCACCCCCAGAGCGATCCTGGGGATGGTGACCCTGGGCAACATGCTGTCGTCCCTGCTCGCCGGGAAGGTTCAGCCGTCAGACCAAGTTCGGAAAGTCCTGTACAAGCAGTTCCAGCAGGTACGAGCACCACGGGGCCAGCCGCGGAGGCGCCGCCGGGAGGGCACGCGTGGCCCCCGGGGGTCGGGAGCCAGCTGGGCTCGCGGGCACGCCTGTCCCATAAGACGAGGCCGCGCCTGTCCTGGGCACGCTCATGAGGAACACCTGGTGCGCCCGATGGTCTAGTGAGAACTGGAACATTCTGGGAACGCGCCAGGGCTGGGGGCACCCCGCGGGTGTCCTGAGACTGTGACAGGCCCCAACACGCCAAGGCCCGAGCACTCTGGCCTCCACCTGGCGGTGAGGGGAAGGTGGGCCGTTGACTGCTCCACGTGAGAGGCCCGGGGGTCGGGGGTCGGGGTCGGGCCCCAACCCGGAGACGAAGGTGCTGCTCCCCTCCCCCAGCACGCGGCCGGCCCACCGGAATCCAGTATTGCTTCCACCTCCACCGCGTCTCTCGGGGCCTGCAGAGCCTCCCCCCCCCCACACCACCCCCAGGAGAGCTCGCCACCCCCCGCCTGGATCCCCACCCCCCTCCCCGCTGAGTCCGCCTGCTTCCTCCAACCGTGAGCACCCCGCTGCCCCAGCCTGCCCCTCCTCGCAGTCCCCAAGCCCCTGGCTCCGGTCCAAGTGTGCTTCCGTCCGCGAGTGCCGTGAGGCCGCCTGGCCTCCATGCCCCTGAGCCTGGTGTCCTGTGCGAGTGGCTGGCCAGCCCGGCTGAGCACTGGTGGCCTGTCCACGGGCCCCACGGCCACCAGCTATCGAGCTCCCTCCTTTCCATCTCGGGAAGTAGGACTGCCGCGCGGTGAGCACGTCCACATATCCCAGTTCGCAGTTGCGACAGAACACCGTCACCAGTCACCCCGAAGGCTTCCCACACTCTCTGACCCCTAGCGCCACGGAGGCCACGCCCATCCTGTCCTCGCGGGTGGCGTGTGCCACGTGTCCGGCTGCTTTTCCACAGCTCACTGATTTGTTCTCCATCCGCAGGGGGCCGCACACCTGGTCGGTCCCCTCCCTGCTCACGGTCTGTCCCCTCCCGGCTCCACTGCATCTCAGTCCTTTTGGGGTTGATTCCGTGGGCGCCTGGCCCCTCCCTCAGCAAGTGGCTGCCCCTGTGCCGTGGCCTTCTGCAAACCGGTGTGGCTTCCCTGCCTCTCACTGTTGGGGGGTCTCTGCACTGGTGGCCGCTGTGGTTTGTGCATGCGCGTTGCTGGCAGAGCCTGAGGATGGACAGGCAGAGCGGGGCTGCCACCTGCCCCCCAAGTCTGTTTTGTTCCCTCCCTTAGAGGCCACACCGGCAGGCCTTTGCCTTCATAGCATGGCCGAGCCCTGGGCAGGGCCCCCCACTGGCTCTGCTGCTTTTAGGACCCTCAGTGTCTCTGTGGGGACCCCAGTGTCTTGCCACCCAGATGCTGGGCAGGGCCGGCGGGAGCAAGCCACGAAGGGGCCCTGGCATGCCCGCTCCACTCTGGGCACCACGGTGCCGGCACAGATGGAGGCAGGATGTCGTCCTTTGCCAGGCATGCGAGGCTTCCGTGGACCAGATCCTGTCTGGAGGCGAATGCAGGGGCCACGGGATAAAGCCTGGGTGGGACCCGTGTCGCGGGCACCCGGCAGCAAGCCGCGGCCGCCCCAACTCCCTAGCTCTCCCTGACCCCCGCGGTCGTCTTGGCCATGTCACATTGGACCTGCCGAGGCGCGTTCCGGGGCACTTGGCTCCTGCAGGCCAGCGCTGCCATGCTCGGCCTTCCCCGGCGCCCGGCGTGGCTAGGGTGGGGCCCCGCTGACCCTTTCTGCCCAGCCCCGTGAGCACGCGTCCTCTCACGGGAGGTCGCCCCCGTCACCGGAGCCAGATGGGAAGGGCACCCGGCTAGGCTCCGGCGTGGCCAGCCGGTTTGGAAATCAGCTGGGCTTGTGCAGCTCGCATCTGATGGGGACGCCCTCGCTGTGTGGCTGGAGAGGGTCATGCAGCCCCGTGGCCCCTCACAGGGAACGGACGCCCACGTGAAAGACTTTCCAGGGATCGTGAACAGATGACCCGAGTGCATGGCTATCGCCAAGTGACCCTTGGGGCTGGGCTGCGGGTGCCCCGACTTAAGTCCCCTTCTGAGAACCTCGCGGTGTGTCCTTGTGGGGAGAAGACCCCGCCGGAGGGCCTCACAGTGCTCCCCTCTCCCTCCGGGCCCCTTAAAACTGGTAAGAGCTTTCAAAGGGCATGAGTTCGACTCCCAGGGAGGTCGCCTTCGATCACTGCGAACATCATCTCCCCGGGAGGGACGAGTGTGACGAGCCCCCACCAGGTCAGGGAGCCCCAACCCAGAACAGCGTCCTCAGACTGATTTCTAAACGAACGTAGAGTCTGGGGCCAGTGAGGCCTCTCGCTGACGGCACACATCTTCCCTCTGGACGTGAGGTCACATGGCTCTCTGGCTCCCAGGCGTTTGGGCCAGGAAACCTCATTTCAGGTCTTTCCTGAGGTGTGACGTTGGGTACTTGGGGGGACGCAGGTCCGGGCAGCCCTTCCCAAGGGGCTGGACCCGCCTAGACCTGGGTGCAGGGTTAGCCAGTGGTGAGCTGTGGACTGAGCGGGGTGACAGGCCTGGAGTTGGGGACCACTGTGGGCCGGCCTTGTCACCCCCGCCCCGGAGGACCAGGGTCTCCGTGCCATGGCTGGACTAATGTCCCCCCTCCCGCTTTTCCTTCCTGGATTCTCTGTCCACTCTGTAGTCCCCCGATTCCCTTCCCCATCTCGTCGGAAACACGCTTCTGTGAAGCCGCACGGAGGCGTGTCTGCTTGTGTTCGCGTTTGAAAGGTGGACCCGAGTGTCCTCGTCCTTTCTCGCCGGGGGTTCTCCTCCGTCTCGGGCGCCCAGTGTGGCACTGAGTTCCCACGTTCCCCTTCTCCGCACCGTCTCCTTTCGTGAAGTCCGTGCTGGTGTCCGTCTGTCGCGATGCATGACCGATGTCTGTTGTTCATAGAGGCCGGCTGAGGTGGGGGTTCTGTCTTGGTCTCCTGGGGTCTCCGGGCTGTGACCGGTGCCTCCGTGCCGGTATCCCGCCGAGCGATACTGCGTGTGAGCCCCCCCCCACTGGCTTGCCTCTCGTCTTTTCACCGTTTCGCCTTTCCCAGAATGGCCAGACCGGATGGGGCTCAGACCGTGGGAAGCTCTGCTGGCCGCTTCCATGCAGGGTTGGGTACAGGACGTCCTGTGTCTTTCCAGGGACTGGTGGCCCGTCTTCATGTCTGCTCACGTTCGTTGTGTGGTCCTCTCCATCCTGTGTTGTATTTCTGACTCAGCGAAAGGCTGCAGGGGGCCTTCTGGGGGCGGTGTCCGGCCTGGCCTAGGCTTTGCTGCCTTCACTTGGACGGCCAGGCAGGCAGGGCCCATGGGGGTGGCAGCTCTCCGGCTCCAGCCGGGCTGCCCCCGTGCACATCGAGCACCGCTTCTCTTCCAGATCCGCCTGACAGACCCGCTGGGCAAGCTCTCGCACATCCTGGAGATGGACCACTTTGCCCTGGTGGTCCACGAGCAGATCCAGTGTGAGTAGGGCCGGCTCCAGGCTGGGCTGGGACTGGGGTGGCGGGAGCCCTGCGGGGCGCTGGCCACCACGGCCCGACCCCAGGTTCCGTGCACCTTCCTGCCGTAAGCTGTGTGGGGCAGGAAGGCCCTCGTCCCTCGAAGGGCATCTGGGAGTTGGTGGGGAGCCGACCTTCAGCCTCCACTGGCCTTGGACTGTGGCTCCGAGGGACCCCCCTGTGGGCCTGCCAGGGGGTCCGCCTCTGGGGAGGCCATGGGGCTTTCGGACTGCCGGTCCAGTTCTGGTGACGACGAGGCCTGGGGAGGTGAGAATCGGGCAGGGCCTGGAATCTGCCCACCCTCCCAACAGAGGGCTGCTCTTGGGGCCGGAGCGGCCCCGAGTCTAACCCCTCTCCCGTCCTTGGCTCCACAGCACGGGACCTGGCCTTGTCGGGCATGGTGGGGGGGCCCGCAGGTATGTACGCCCCGCCTGCCCCGAAGACGGCTCGGGGTCAGAATCGCAGTCTCTGAGGTCAAAGGAGGGTGTCCAGGGTCCTGGAGCCCAAGCTTGCGTGCAAGGGTTCCTCCTCCTGGTGTCACATTTACTCCTATCTGAGCATCTAGTAAAAACAAAACAAAAGAGAAAGAGCCAGGAGGTCCAAGTTCAGGGTCCAGGAATGAAGTTTCTTAGAGTCGCACTCAGCAGCGCTTCCTGCCATGTCGGCAGAGCCGAGCGGTCATCACGGACCGCGTGGCCCTGGCACGCCTTGGCTGTGGGCGAGTTTCTCCTGGAGGGCCCTGTAGGGCGGGTCCCAGAGGCGCCTGCCGACCCCCTTTGCCTGTGCTCCCTGCAGTGCACAGGGCTGGCTCTTCTGGGTTCCACATGTTTCTTCCTGAGGTGCCTGGCCCCCCGGGCCTTCCCGACCCCCGCCCTCTGTGCCCTCTGCCCTCAGTGGCCACACACAGTGGTGCTGGGCAGAGGTGGGACCTGGCCCTTCCCGCCCGCTCCTCGGCTCTGCTGGTCCTCCGTGTGTCGCTCACGGCTTTCCAGGGACACCAGCAGCATGTCTGGATGTAGGGAGAGGTTCGTGTCAGAAACTGGCTCACGTGACTAGGCCGGCAGGTTCCAGGGCTGCAGGGTGAGCAGGCAGGCCTAGGGCCCAAGAAGAGCCGATATCTCAGTTTGAGTCCAAAGATAGGAGCTTCTCCTCTTACTCGGGGCATTAGCCTTTGTGTTCTGTTCAGGCCTTCAGCTGATTAGGTGTGGCTCACCAGGCCAGGGAGGGCATCTGGTGTACGCCGTGGACCCCATCAAATACCTGGGCTTGCCCAGACAGCCAGAATACATGTGACCAAATATTTGCGCGCCCTGTGACTTAGCAAAGCGGACACGTGGAATTAACCATCCCCCAAACCCTCTGCCCGTTGGCAGCACAGTGCAGAAGCCACCGAGAGAGAGGGACCCGGGTCTGACGACAGCCCAGAGCTGTGAGCTGGTGTGGTTTGTAGGTGTGGGCAGGGTTGGAACTTAAGGCCAGAACACAAGCACCGGCCACCAAGGGGGCCCTGCAGAGGAAGTAGTGGGACGGGGCGTCCGGCCCAGCAGACCTGGTGGAGGGAAGCCAGGACCCCGCTCTGTGTGGCTTCACCCAGATGGCTCATGTCGGAGGACCGCGGCTGTTGGGGTCGGCTTGGGCGCTCCTGGGGGGGGGACACTCAGGCACCGGCTGGGCCCGGATGTGGGCAGGGCCATGTGTCCCCAAGTGCACACCGAGGCACCTTTACACTGTCCCGCCTTCTTCGTCCTCAGACCATAGCGATGGGAAGTCCAGCAAGAGGCAGATGGTGTTTGGCGTCGTCACGGCCATCGACCTGCTGAACTTCGTGGCTGCTCGGGAGCGGGAGCCGAAGACAAAGTCCGGGCCTGCCGGGGCCACCGTACAGCTCTGACGCCACCTGCGGGGGTCCGTGCTCTGTGGCTTCTGACCGCCCGAGCGCACACCCCGTGACTGCCGACTGCCTGCCGCTGGCTCCGCTCTCCCGTGATGGGCAACAGGGAAGGTGGACGACGCTGAGCCCGCGGCCGGCAGGAATGTTCATTCCCCTTTACTAATGCCTGGCTACCCTGTGGGTCTATTTATGGTTTGTTAGAGTAGATGGCTTTAACTTTCTTCTAACCCGTTTCAACACGAAAATCCGAGTAGAGCCCAGCCAGGTGGAGGCACCCATGCGACGACAGGAGCAGCGCGGGTAGAAGCTGCAGCAGGTGCTTTTTCTCGGTCCCCCCGAGGACGGGGAGCAACAGAAAGGCGTCTGGGGAAGTGGGGTGCGTGCGAGGCCCCTCACACGCAGCAGGGTCTGCTTGGGGCTGGGTCGCTCAGAGGGACTTGTCTGGGGTTTTCTGATTGAATGTTATGGGAATGTCACCTCAATCAGTTTAAAAACGTCCTGTTCTCAGGGTCATGTAGCCAGTCCCCTCCCCGGCCTCTCTGGCCGCTGCTGGCCTGCTTTGTGTCCCGTGGGTCTGTCTGGATCCATCACATAAATGGAATCCTGTGGTTCAGCCTTCCGTGTCTGGCTTCTGTGGCTCAGCGCGACGCTTCTGGAGCTCACCCGCACGTAGCGGGCGGCTCTTCTGCTTACGTCCAAGTGACTTTCTTCCGCGCCGCAGGACACGGCTCATCCCTTTGGGCACGGCGGGCGGGTGTCTGGGTGGTTTCTGCTGCCGGGCTACCGTGACCCCCAGCGTGTGCCCGAGTATTTGTCTGCGGGTCGGCTTTGAACTCTCTGGTTCTGCACTGGCCAGACACCGCTGGGTCACGTGATAATGCTGCACGCGCATGTGCGTGTGTTAGTGTGTGTGCATGTGCGCGTGCGTGTGTGCGGCTCCCACCAGGCTGTTGCGCAGCAGCGGCGCCCGCTTCCGTCCCTGCCGCCCGCCCGCCGTCCTCGGGGTTCCGGTTCCTCCATGAGCTTGTCCACAGTTGCTGGGCTCTGGCTCCGGGCGTCCGGCCTGTGTTTCCCCAGTGACTGGTGACGCTCAGCATCATTATGCTCTTTGGTCGGTCGTAGGTCTTGGCAGAACTGCCTGTAGTTCTGTGGCCATTCCTCACTGGGGTTGTCTTTTGTTGTCCAGTTGGAGGACTTCTTTATATATTTTTTAAGATTTTTATATATTTTTTTTATTTGGCAGAGAGAGCGAGAGAGGGAACACGAGCAGGGGGAGTGGGAGAGGGAGAAACAGGCTTCCCGCCGAGCAGAGAGCCTGATGCGGGCTCGATCCCAGGACCCTGGGATCATGACCTGAGCCGGAGGCAGACAGACGCCCAACAACTGAGCAAACCAGGCGCCCTTGTTTATATATCGTGGATACCAGACCCTTATCTGATTGTGACTTGCAAAGGTTTCCGCCCATTCTGTGGGTGACTGTTCCCCTTCTAGCGTACAACACCTTCAGCTTTGACGAAGTTCAGTTTCTTTCTTTCGTTATCTTTGCTCTTATACGTACAAACCCACTGCCAGATCCAAGGTCATGATACTTTACACCTGTTTTCTTCTAAGACTTTCATAGTTTTAGCTGTCATATTTGGTTTATTAACCCATTTCGAGTTTTTATACAGGGTGTGAGGTAGGGATCCAGGCTTTTTTTTTTTAATGTGGATGTCTGTCTGTTAGAGGGTGTCCCCCATTGAATGGTCTTGGCGTTGAAAATCCGTAGATGGAAGTGTTTATTTCTGGGCTCTGAACTCTCATCGGTCAGTAGAGCCATCCTTAGGCCAGTACCACACCATTTTGATGACTGTAGCTTCGATAGTAAGTTTTGAAATCAGGAACTGTGAGCCCTCCAGCTTTTGTTCATTTTTACTATTATTTTGGAAATCATGGTGTATTTTGATCTATTTTGCTTCATGTTTCCTGTGCTTGGAATTCTTTGAGCTTCTTGGATTCCAATATTTGACTAGAAACAGTTCCAGAGAGAAAAAGGGAAACAGGGAAAGAAATCACCAGCGAAGGAATTCAAGACCCTTCCCAGACTAAAAGACATGATTCTGTAAGTCGAGGGGGTCATCCCGCACCCCGCACCGTGGATGGGGAAGGACTCGCACAGGTAACATCACTGTGAGATGTTTGGTCACTGGGGACAGGATCCGAAAGCAGCTTCCAGAGGTGGGTGAGGAAACCCAGTTCACCTAGAAAGTCTGGGGAGGAGGAAAGCGTCTGACTTGATCTCTAGCTTGCGGAGGCTGGGAGACAAGGGAGCAGAGCCTAAAAACATCTGGAACGGGGAGTAATACAGGCCAGGCCCTCCCTTAACAGCCAGGTGGGGATGCAGACCTTTCCACCCAGGCACTGGGAGAGGTGCTCCCCCCAGCAAGCTCCAGGTCACCCCGAATGGTTGGGGGGGCAGGTCCTTGACAGGGCTAGTCGGCCATGGGCTGTAGCAGGACAGACGGCTCCAGGGGGCGCTCGGAGGGGAGGGAACATCAGAGGCCTGCAAACATCCAGTCACGAGGCTGGTAGAAAGTAGGGGTTGCTTTCGTCCCTAGGAAACACGACAAAAAGGCAATCTGAATGAAGACCCCAGCCCAGGCTTGGGGGTGCCAGCCTTCCTGCCCTGCAGTAAAGAATCTGTAATTTCTGTTCCTCAGAGGCTTAACTGCTGGGGCGCCTGGGAGTCTCCGTAGGTTGAGAGTCTGCCTTTGGCTCAGGTAATGATCTCAGGGTCCTGGGATCGAGCCCCGCATCGGGCTCCCTGCTCAGCGGGGAGCCTGCTTCCCTCTGCCTCCCCTGCTCGTCTTCTCTCTCGCTCGCTCTCTCACGCTCAAACAGAATCTTGAAAAAGAAATGTAACCCCTCACAGCCTACCACTGACCAGAAGGCTTGCTGGTGACATACACCGTTAACACGTGATCTGTTCCATTTCTGCTGTATTTTTACACTAAACGAAGCTGTAGGTTATTTAAAAAATACACGTACAGACTCGACTACGGAGAAGAATCCATGGACAGGCGATCCTCGCGGTCCGAGCCCGTGGTGTTCGCGGGTTTGCTGTCCGAGGGAGGCAGGCACGGTGCCGAACACAGCTGGGCTGGGAGTAAGGGCTGCTTCCTAAAACCCAGAAACACTGAGTGGAGATCCACACAAACGTTACCATAAACCATAGGAAGGGGTTCTGCGCTGGTGGGAGGGGCCCGGGGGCAAGGGGGTCCGCACCCCTGCAGAAGGATGTCACTAGATAACAAGGAGTAGGGCGAACGAGGGTTTGGAGCCACACGGGCGAGAGGCACGGGCTGCGGCCGGGGGACTGAGCCGCTGTGTCTCGAGGGCAGCCTGGCACTTGGGAGTCTATATCCAGGCTGGGGTGGGTCTGGGACTTGCTCCTGTTCGTGGTAAGCCGCCTGGAACTCGGCCTGGATCGGAGCAGAACAGTGATTTAAAAAAAAAACAAAAAACCTTTTTACACACGAAGCCAGTAAAGATTAGTTTCTAGACAGAAAGGAAAGTATCTTGGTTACGTTTCTGAAACTCGGTAGTCATTGTATTAGGCTTCTGTGAACCAGGGACCAGATGGAGAGGACAGTCCTGTCTGGTGGCCCCTTTTCTGTCACAAGACTCCCAATGGGTCAGCGGGTCACTTTCCCAAACAATGCCCGTACTGGACAGTCCAGCACCGTCACAGCCTGCTCCCTGGGGACCACGGGCTAGACTGTAGGACAGTGAGCTCTCTGTGGAGCTCTGAACCTCTGCTCCCCTGGGCACCCCAGCTGGGGCCTGGCCTCGGGGTCTGCACCCCAGGGCTGGTGGGAATACACCTCCTCAGTGGGCCTTCAGTCTTGTCAGAAGCCCGCCTGCCCGGGCTGCCCACCCTGGCTGCGGAAGCTGGCAGCCCCCTGCCCTGCGGCCTGGCCCTCGTTCCTCCCCTGAAGGGCTGGGGACCCAGGGGACGGTACCTGGGGCCACGTGAGGTTGTGCTCGGAGAAAGTCAGGAGCTTCCCAGCCAGGGCTCAGGAGCCCCCTTCCAGCCTGTCCCAGGCTGTCCCCCGCCGTCACCCTCAGATACTGCTTCTCTGGAGCCGCAGGCCTTGCACGACAAGGCCTCTGTTGCTGGCGCACTGCCCTCCTGTGCCCGCGTCCCCTGGCCCAGAGCAGCAGGTGCCACCTGACACACAGTGATAAGCAGCTCCCTGCTCAGGAACACCTGGTCCCTAAGCGGGAGGTCCCCACGCCGCTCTGCACATGGCTGACCGTGGTGCGCACAGGAGGCTGCCCTGCCCGCGGGGCTGAACTCTGGGGCGCGGCCACCCCTGCCTGCGAGGGAAGCTGGACTTTGGGGTCGTTCGTCAGGGGGCCGTAGGCTCAGCTTAAAAGGGCAGTGGTGGGGGTGTCAGTCCTAAGGAACAAGAAAGATCAAACAGGCGGTGGGGGGGGCACACCCTGCTCTTTCCCTTTATAAGGGAACCTGCACAGGTGACAGCTGGCTCAGGACACTAGTGTCCCAGGGGCGCCAGCGGAGCTCCGGGGCTCCACGTGAGCGTCCCACGTGGCTGGCAGACCCCCTCCTCCCGCCAAGTCCGGCCGGGGAACTCGGATCGCTCCTGGCCCTGCCCACAGGTGAGCACTTTTCTGCACTGTGGACCTCCTCGCCTCCTGGCACGTCCCGGCGAGACACAGCCCACCTTCCCGGCTGCAGAAGCGCCGCTCGCTCTCCCAACATCCTTTGCAGCGGGATGCAGGCACCGGACGGGCTTGGGTGATCAGACGCCACCCCATGCCGCCAGGAAGGAGAACGTGGCGCCCCCCGCAGGATCTGGGCGTGGAGGGCAGCGCGGCTGCATCCATGGTGGGGGTGCGGCATGGTGTCTGCCCCACTCCCCGGGGCGACCAGCGGCAGTGGCTTGGCGGCTGGCCTGACCCCGGTCCTCTGGCTCTGGGACCACTGGAGTCTGGGCTTCCCAGCAGTGTCCTTCTTGCCGAAGGATCCACTGTCTCTTGCCAAGAAGCGCCAAGTGGGGACGTTTCCTCCATGGCCACCTAGGGATGGCCGCAGGCTCAGTCCCTTCTCCCATCCTCCATGACACTCTGACCAATGCTGGAAAGACTCCGGCCCCGAAAAGCCCCTCCTGGGCGTTGTCACCTGGGCTTCAGGTAGCGTCAGTCCCACTGCACCCCTCGGGAGGCTGCTGGCCGAGCTGCCTTCTCCTGTGCTCAGAGACACAGGCCACAAGCAAGACTGTTCTCCATCTGCCAGATGAGCGACAGTCGGGAGCAGAAAGTCCCCGCGGTGGGTGGTGCCGGTGGCCAGGTGTCGCGCCCCGCTTCCCGGGCACGACCTCTGCCGGCGGCTGGGGACATCGGCACAGCCTCTGGGGAGGGCCCCACATGAGCATCCGCAGACACGGAGC